TGTAAGGTTACCATGAACTATTGCGTTTCTGTTAGGTTACCATGAACTATTGAGTTTTCGTTAGGTTACCATGAACTATTGAGTGTCTGTTAGGTTACCATGAACGATTGAGTTTCTGTTAGGTTACCATGAACTATTGAGTTTCTGTTAGGTTACCATGAACTATTGAGTTTCTGTTAGGTTACCATTAACTATTGAGTTTCTGTTAGGTTACCATGAACTATTGAGTCTCTGTAAGTTTTCCTGAACTATTGAGTTTCTGCTAGGTTACCATGAACTATTGAGTTTCTGTTAGGTTACCATGACCTATTGAGTTTCTGTTAAGTTACCTGAACTATTGAGTTTCTGTTAGGTTACCATGAACTATTGAGTTTCTGTAAGGTTACCTGAACTATTGAGTTTCTGTAAGGTTACCATGAACTATTGAGTTTCTGCAAGGTTACCTGAACTACTGAGTTTCTGTTAGGTTACCATGAACTATTGAGTTTCTGTTAGGTTACCATGAACTATTGAGTTTCTGTTAGGTTACCTGAACTATTGAGTTTCTGTAAGGTTACCATGAACTACTGAGTTTCTGTAAGGTTACCATGAACTATTGAGTTTCTGTTAGGTTACCATGAACTATTGAGTTTCTGTTAGGTTACCATGAACTATTGAGTTTCTGTTAGGTTACCATGAACTATTGAGTTTCTGTTAAGTTACCTGAACTATTGAGTTTCTGTAAGGTTACCATGAACTATTGAGTTTCTGTAAGGTTATCATGAACGATTGAGTTTCTGTTAGGTTACCTGAACTTTTGAGTTTCTGTTAGGTTACCATGAACTATTGAGTTTCTGTAAGTTTTCCTGAACTATTGGGTTTCTGCTAGGTTACCATGAACTATTGAGTTTCTGTTAGGTTACCATGAACGATTGATTTTCTGTTAGGTTACCTTGAGCTATTGATTTTCTGTTAGGTTACCTGAACTAATGAGTTTCTGTAGGTTACCATGAACTATTGAGTGTCCGTTAGGTTACCTGAACTATTGAGTTTCTGTTAGGTTACCATGAACTATTGCGTTTCTGTTAGGTTACCATGAACTATCGCGTTTCTGTTAGGTTACCATGAACTACTGAGTTTCTGTTAGGTTACCATGAACTATCGCGTTTCTGTTAGGTTACCATGAACTATCGCGTTTCTGTTAGGTTACCATGAACTATTTAGGTTACCTGAACTATTGAATTTCTGTAAGGTTACCATGAACTGTTGAGTTTGTGTTAGGTTACCATAACTATTGAGTTTCTGTAAGGTTACCATGAACTGTTGAGTTTGTGTTAGGTTACCATAACTATTGAGTTTCTGTAAGGTTACCATGAACTATTGCGTTTCTGTTAGGTTACCATGAACTATTGAGTTTCTGTTAGGTTACCTGAACTATTGAGTTTCTGTTAGGTTACCATAAACTATTAAGTTTCTGTTAGGTTACCATGAACTATTGCGTTTCTGTTAGGTTACCATGAACTATTGAGTTTCTGTAAGTTTACCATGAACTATTGCGTTTTTGTTACGTTACCATGAACGATTGAGTTTTTGTTAGGTTACCATGAACTATTGAGTTTCTGTTAGGTTACCATGAACTATGGAGTTGCTGTTTTATCTGTTAAAAGCTATTTACAACGAAGTCTGAGTTTCTGTTATTAATCGTGAAATATGGAGTTTCTGATATGAACCGTTTATACCGAGGTCTGCTTTGTCTGTTAAAAGCTATTTACAATGAAGTCTGAGTTTCTATTAGTAACCGTGAACTAAGGAGTTTCTGTTATGAACCGTTCATACCGAGGTCTGCTTTATCTGTTAAAAGCTATTTACAATGAAGTCTGAGTTTCTATTAGTAACCGTAAACTATGGAGTTTCCGTTATGAACCGTTCATACTGAAGTATTGAAGTCTGTGTTTCTGTTATGAACCGTTCATACTAAGTATTGAAGTCTGAGTTTCTGTTATTAATCGTGAACTATGTAATTTCTTATATGAATCGTTCATATCGAGTTCTGATTTAGTCTGAGTTTCTGTTATTAATCGTGAACTATGGAGTTTCTTATATGAACCGTCTATATCGAGTTCTGATTTAGTCTGTGTTTCTGTTATTAATCGATAGCTGTTAAGTTTTAGTCTTTCTTAGTAACCGTTAACTAGAAAATCTGACCTTGTGTTACTTACGGAATTATTGCTAGTATCGGTTACATATGATCCGGGGTTGGTTAGACAAACGAGTCAACATCAATGGGCGTGACAGCGTTTCGTGAGCATTGCAAGATTGTTTAAATCCAAGTAGGCTTTAGCGTTTGCTGTGTCACTACCTTATATATATTTTTTTCGGATTGTTAACAGAATATTTGGTTTGTTTTATTTCTATTGTACTCGTTTGTGATTAAAGTTCAATTTCCATATTCTCCAAAACATCAAACTTCAATGGGTGTGTAGAAAATGTTTTCTTTTTCTCCCCAAGATAATTAAGAAATGTCCTCGTTTGGTATCGCGAGTCAATGTGACGAAATGAACACAAATCTTGCATTGCAAATTTGTAATACTCTAAATTAACTATATGATTCAGACAGTTCTATCTATATGTTATACTCCATAGAGACCAAAATGGCTTTAATGCTGAGGGGTTGAGTACGCATGCGATACTTAGCTTCGTTTAATCCCAGTTGGTAGGGATTGATGCTTTCAATGCCTCTATTCCTTGCGCCCGACTGTGATGTCGTCCAGGTGGTTCCAATCTGTGATGTTCGCACAAAGAGTGAGTTTCTGTATTGCTCCGTGTTGCTGTTGGGTATTATGACTGCTCTGTATTGCTCTGTGTTGCTGTTGGGTATTATGACTGCTCTGTATTGCTCAGCGTTGCTGTTGGATATGATAGCTGCTTGTTTATTGTTCCTGGTCGAAGTTGGAATTGGTCTTGATGTCTCGCAGTCTTTGAACTTCCACTGTCCTGTTTTCCTTTTCTCACGCTGGAAATCAATAAAGTCTTTGCTAGGCATTGATGGAATTTGCTCCTCCACGATTTTATAATAGAATGTTAATCTCTGTTGTTTTCGTCTTGAAGCTAGAAATGAAAGTAGAAGATCTTTGAGGAGTTTTGATTCCAATTTCTTGATGTCTGTCTTGGTATTTGGGTTCCAGATTATCGCTCCGTATTCCATGATTAATTTAACAATAGAAATACATGCTATCTTCCTGCATTCTCTGGGGCAGTGTTGTAGATTACGCCATAAGGTGTCTAAGATGGAACTGGCCTTTAAGTAATGTTTCTGTAGGTTCATTCCATTTCATATCCCCTGATAGTTGTAACCCATGGTATGGATTTGTCTGTACATGATCTAAGTTGTGTCCATTTAGCTGATACGAGGTTTTCGTTTTCTTCTTACTACGAAGTATGTAATTCTTTCGGCATTGATTTTTATTCCCCAGTTTGCAGCCCAAGTTTGCAGCTGTTTCAGGTCGTCTTTAAGTGTTTCATGGTTCTCGTTTGATGTTATTTTTCTATAAAGTAGGCTGTCGTCTGCAAAAAGACATTTATGTGGCAAAGGAAAAGTAGGGGTCCTAGTACTGTTCCTTGTGGGACTCGTGACTCAACAGTGGCCTCTTCAGAGAGTTCTCCCTCTATGGCTACCCGCATCTTCCTGTTAGTTAGGAAGGTTTTTTGCCATCGATACCATGCAGAGGTCCTTGGTCCCATAGGACTCCAGCTTGTAGAGTATTCTGCCATGAGGAACGATGGCAAAGGCCTTGGAGAAGTAAAGTATTGCAATGATCTCAGTAAGTCGTCAATAGTTGTAACGAGTTGGGTTTCATCCGAGTATCCTGATCGTAAGCCATGTGGTTCAGTGATCTAAGTACCCTATATCTGTCCAGATGGTCCAATACATGTTTGCATTTGGTGTGTTCTAGAATTTTACAGGGTACTGATGTTAATGATACAGGACGATTACTTTCTGCCGAGTGTTTGTCTCCCTTGTTAAAGATTGCAGGATTTGTTTGCATTTAGTCAGTCTACAGGTAGCTCACTAATTGTTATGGGGGGGGGGGGGGGGGGGGGGTCCTGAAGATTTGTGTCAGTATGGCTGCTAAATGGTCCTCACGCGATTAGGAATAGTGTTTGGCCCTGGCGCTTTAGATGGATTTAGGTTCATTAAGAGTTGTGCTACTCCTTCTTGATTAATATTTAGATGAGGAATCGGATGGTTTATGTTTAAACGTGTTTTTGTCGTGATGTTGTTGTTACTACAGGTAAAGACAGATGAGAACTGGTTCAGAAAATAATGTGCTTTTCCTTTACTTTCAACAGAGACGTATATATACGTCTCTGCTCTCAACGACAGGTGTGTCCTGTGATCATGTTTCCTTGTTTATATGTATTTCCAGAATGGTTTTGAGTTGTTCTGATCTAGTCCATCTTGTATAACATTGGTTACTTAATCGTTTTCTGCTTTCATTATTTCACGTTTGCAGTGTTTTTGATAGTACCGGTAGTTATTCCAATTTCCCGTCTTTTTGGCTTGATTATATAGGTTTTGTTTTTTCTTCAGCATTCTCCTTATTCTTCTCTTGAACAATGGTAGACTGATTTTTTACACTTGGAGTTGGTATGTTTGAGGTCAGCGAGTCAGGTAGACCATTTTTGAATTTCAGTCAGCATACTTCTGTTTCTTTTTTCTTCTCAGCCATGCTATTAATGATAGAGGTCCTTATTTTCTAGGAAATCCTAGCTATGTGACAACAAAATCCTAGGTAAGCATATCCATCTACATATGCGCAAGCACCGTTGTAGGTATAAATTATAGGACAGTTATGATCAGACTAGTGGTATGCGCCCGCCTACATGTGTGCAACATGTAAACTAAATGTGTCCATCCAATCCTCTTCAGACATCCTTTAAATACATTTTATGGTGTACCTTGGTACTATTATTTTGGATCCATTTAAAAGTGTAAATAGAAGACGCAAGGAATAAGGTACACCTGTCAATTGTTTTATTCTTTGTAAGCGACTAGGTTTTGTATTTAGTAACAAATATTAATTAGCCCTGAACAACTCATTAACATTGCATTATCCCAAAACAAATAAATACACACAACATTTACATCAAATATACTCTCACAATAAAATATACATTCAGAAATGTTTACAATAAATATACCTGTATCTGATGAATCGCCTACCTTCTCAAATATATGCACATGTAATAAATATACTAGTTCTTTAAAATGTACCCACTCTACAGAACAATTACCACAATCAAACAATTATAAATTACACCAAACTGCTTTCAATTTGCATTTAAAATCAATACTTAAGAATTTCTTCCTAATCAATGGCGGCAAATTATTTTAACTTGCTGAAGTTCAAGGTCAATATTTTCCTATGAGAAATCGCTATATGATGAGTAATGACTTGACACTTTGCGAAGAGTAATAAAAATTATAAATATGCTACTTGCAATTATTAATAAAGCACAATTGCCCACATAATACATTCAACATCATTTATTTTGTCAATACCATAAGGTATCTTTTCAGGTACCTACATCATATTTGAACTTAACATGTATACTACAACTGTCAAATATGATTATTAACTGATTTTATGTCAAGATTGTAAACAAGATTGTGAGATGTGAATTACAGCTGTACTAGGCATTATTAGAGATGGAAATTAACCAAGTTAATGTAAGTATTTAAGTGGTATTCATATTTTTGTGCTTTCGATCATCATAATTTAGAAATGATAAAATATGATAACTACTAAACAGAAAATAACTTAGTACTAAATCATGCCTGGATTCACATGATCGGTTCCTCCCTTATAAAAACACATGTCAGAGCCTCACATAGACGTTAACATCATAAACACATTCTTTAATTCATGGGTTCACAAAATTAAAATTCATGAAATGTTTTAGTTTGGACAGAAAGACAAATTTAAAACATAATGTGAAAATATGTTGCAATAGACACTTAGAGTGTTAATTTAAATATAAAGACACATACTTATATAATACACAAACCAGTATCACAGTTGGAGGACATATCTCATGGGACTTGTTATGGCTATATGCTACCTGACATATGATATATTGTATCTATGATTTGGATAAGTAACCTCCCTAATTCAAAATTGCCTGGGAGTTACAAAATGCACTTTTCAAATGTGTCATCATTTCTTGTGTACTTCTCAAATGTGTAATGAATTCTTGTGTACCTTTCTAATGTGTCATCAATTCTTGTGTAATTTTCAAATGTGACATAAATTCTTGTGTACCTCTCAATGTGTCATCAATTCTTGTGTAATTCTAAAATGTATCATAAATTACTTTTTAAATGTGTCATGAATTCTTGTGTAGTTCTGAAATGTGTCAAGATTTTTTGTGTTCCTTTCAATGTGTCATCTATTCTTGTGAAATTCTATAATGTGTTATACATTCTTGTGTACGACTCAAATGCATAATCAATTATTCTGTACCTCTCAAATATGCTATTGATCTAGTAACTATTTTTGAAGTCCCAATTTACCATTTTACAACAAATTTTACAAGTGTTTTTGTGGGATACACATTTGGAAAGAAGATACATATCACAAAAATGTAGCATATAACCTTGAGTATAAAAAATCCAAGTTCTTAACAAAATTGTCATGTACAAACGAATAATTGTTTATCAACATACAAAGTAATAACTTATAATCAGTACACAAACTACATAGTGATACAATCATGTAACTTGTTATCAATATATATTACAAAGTAATCACTTATAATCTATATGAAATGTAACAACTTGTTATTATTACAAACCGTTAAAAGAGTATTTTGTGACAGATGCATTATCTGGACTGTATGATTTTCAAAAGAACACATTTTTCAAAACAAAATAATATGAAAATGGTTCATACCCTCATTGTGAATAGAGTGTGTGATTGACGGACTTCATGAATGTAACATTTATGCACTGAAAAAACAGCTACAATATATATCTAGTAATTCCTTTTGGATTTAAAACAATTGATTTCCTGATTCATAACCAACACACACTTAATTTTACAACAGCCTGTTTCTGAATGAATCAAAGAATATAGCATTAAATAATGAAAACCGAGATGTTCTGTGCTTTTTCTTCATTTGTGAAAAATGCATTTTTTCCCCAAGATGAAGCAGTCTGTATTTGTCTGTAAAACTAAAGCAAAATATATCACTGATAAGAAAAAAGTCTTCAACATTGATCACAGGTAAAGTCTGACATTTTAGCACCAACACGGAAATAAATATACTCCATCAACTACAGCTACCTACAGGTTCTGTACACTGCTAACTCATCAACTACCGCTACCTACAGGTTCTGTACACTGCTAACTCATTGACTATGTTTTGGTATCAACTAACTTGATTTCTCTTCTAAGCTTCTTTTTCATTGAAGCTCATCACTCTTTTGTTGTTTTTCCAAATATAGTTTTCTTTGTGGGTTTATCCTTTCCAGACTGAAAAGAAAGACATCATATGTTAGTAATACATCAGATTTTTTTCTAAAACAGCACAAATGCCAGTAAGATATCAGAAATAGTCTAAATGTAATAAGTAATATATCGGAACACAATTATTATAAATTCTTGCATTAATTTGTAAATGACAAGAGGCCCAAGGGCCTTAACAGTCACCTGAGGTAATTGAACAAGGGCCTAACAGTCACCTGAGGTAATTGAACAAGGGCCTTGACAGTCACCTGAGGTAATTGAACAAGGGCCTTAACAGTCACCTGAGGTAATAGAACAAGGGCCTTAACAGTCACCTGAGGTAATAGAACAAGGGCCATAACAGTCACCTGAGGTAATAGAACAAGGGCCTTAACAGTCACCTGAGGTAATTGAACAAGGGCCTAAACAGTCACCTGAGGTAATTGAACAAGGGCCTTAACAGTCACCTGAGGTAATTGAACAAGGGCCTTAACAGTCACCTGGGGTAATTGAACAAGGGCCTAAACAGTCACCTGAGGTAAATGAACAAGGGCCTTAACAGTCACCTGAGGTAATTGAACAAGGGCCTTAACAGTCACCCCAGGTAATTGAAGAAGGGCCTTAACAGTCACCCAAGGTAACTGAACAAGGGCCTAAACAGTCACCCGAATTATATTATAAGTATTCTTCATTGTTAAGAAATGTGAAGTGGAAATCAGCATTTAAATAAAGAGATAATGTTACTAGTCATGTTACCAAAGGAAATAAACAAGAGTTCTTTCCATCAATGCAGATAATTTGATTCTAGTTAAATCTGAGTCTGGAGAAGATTTTTGAAATATTGGTTAGTTTTCCTGCCCTGCCCTGGCCCCCAGGGTTGACGACAGGAATCCCAATTTTAAAATGTGATACCTTCTTCCATCAAGGATGATTCTGACCAAGTGTGAAAACAAAACATTGTTTACTCACAAGAAGTTTAGCACCAAGTAGCATCTTCATTTTATCCTCCTCCTGTTGTACATCTGTTAGGGGAGTTTCCTCCCCTGCACGAGCTCTCATGTGAAGTTTTTGTTTGATTGCCTGAATTGGAGTAGATAATTACATACTGTAATTGCAAAACATAGCTGACATATTTGCATAGTTGATGCAATTATAAAGAGACTTAGAAATCAGTTCAGACAAACATTGGAAAAACCTAGAGCTTAATAAATACATTAATTTGGCTAGTTACAAGCAGATTTCAATGAGAGACAAATAATATATGTTGTAAGATATGGATACACATCCTGAGGCACCCAATGCCTGTGTCCATTTCCTTTCCTATTAAATTCCTATTAAATTCCTATTAAATAAACAGTCCAGACTGCGTTAATGCCTCACAGTTTCATATCTTCGCAACATAGTAGATGGGATATTAGCTCTTTATGTGTACAAAATGTGTACAATATTTAATAATTTCTCCACTACACCAATGGTCACTGCGACCTATATATTTCCCTCTTTACTGACTTTGATTAGACTTCTTGTTTAGTTACATTTCTTTAGCTTGATATTGCATTTAGACCAATTTCCGAACATAAACATTCAACAGTTCAAATGAAAATCTTTTTGAACCAAACGGATGGAACAATCACTAAGGAACAAAAATTGATATCAAGCCTTACCTGAGAAAGCACCACTCTTTTACTGTCACCTTGCATCTGCATTAGAAGGTCATACCAGGTCCATATTTGGTTGTGATATTCTAGGGTGGGCAGTACCAGATTGAAATCATGGATGTCTTTCAGGTTTTTTTCCTTCATACCCTAAGCACATTAGAAAAAACACAATAATAGAATTCTCATACAGCAAACATATAAAACACATTATACCAGTAGAACACTGCAGGCTAAATTAACCTCTTTGGTACCAGAAATCAATAGTGGAGCTACTGTGACGTCACAATAGGCAAGTAGGTAAAAGGGGTATATCCTTCCAATTACAACTGATTTTCAACGAGCTGTATTGAAATGACTTTTGCTTTTTTAATGTAAATGTTGGTAAGAAATGAGGTATCAATATGGTGGTTCAAACCCTCCATATGTAGGAGATATCAGGTACCTTATAGCTTGAATGTTACAGTTAGGACACCTCCCGGTATGTACAGGTAAATAATAAGCTACCTTGTAGCTGCAAGACACTTCTGATATCTTTATGTGTAGGTAAATAATGACCTACCTTGTAGCTCGATTGTAAAGACACCTCCGGTATCTTTATACACAGACAAATAATGACCTACCTTGTAGCTCACTCGTAAAGACACCTCCTGTATCTGTATACACAGGTAAATAATGACCTACCTTGTAGCTTGATTGTAAAGACACCTCCGGTATCTTTATACACAGGTAAATAATGACCTACCTTGTAGCTTGATTGTAAAGACACCTCCGGTATCTTTATACACAGGTAAATAATGACCTACCTTGTAGCTCACTCGTAAAGACACCTCCTGTATCTGTATACACAGGTAAATAATGACCTACCTTGTAGCTCACTCGTAAAGACACCTCCTGTATCTTTATACACAGGTAAATAATGACCTACCTTGTAGCTCACTCGTAAAGACACCTCCTGTATCTTTATACACAGGTAAATAATGACCTACCTTGTAGCTCACTCGTAAAGACACCTCCTGTATCTTTATACACAGGTAAATAATGACCTACCTTGTAGCTCACTCGTAAAGACACCTCCTGTATCTTTATACACAGGTAAATAATGACCTACCTTGTAGCTCACTCGTAAAGACACCTCCTGTATCTTTATACACAGGTAAATAATGACCTACCTTGTAGCTCACTCGTAAAGACACCTCCTGTATCTTTATACACAGGTAAATAATGACCTACCTTGTAGCTCACTCGTAAAGACACCTCCTGTATCTTTATACACAGGTAAATAATGACCTACCTTGTAGCTCACTCGTAAAGACACCTCCTGTATCTTTATACACAGGTAAATAATGACCTACCTTGTAGCTCACTCGTAAAGACACCTCCTGTATCTTTATACACAGGTAAATAATGACCTACCTTGTAGCTCACTCGTAAAGACACCTCCTGTATCTTTATACACAGGTAAATAATGACCTACCTTGTAGCTCACTCGTAAAGACACCTCCTGTATCTTTATACACAGGTAAATAATGACCTACCTTGTAGCTCACTCGTATAGACAACTCCTGTATCTTTATACACAGGTAAATAATGACCTACCTTGTAGCTCGATTGTAAAGACACCTCCTGTATACACAGGTAAATAATGACCTACCTTGTAGCTCACTTGTATAGACACCTCCGGTATCTTTATACACAGACAAATAATGACCTACCTTGTAGCTCGATTGTAAAGACACCTCCTGTATACACAGGTAAATAATGACCTACCTTGTAGCTCACTCGTATAGACACCTCCTGTATCTTTATACACAGGTAAATAATAACCTACCTTGTAGCTCACTCATAAAGACACCTCCGGTATCTTTATACACAGGTAAATAATGACCTACCTTGTAGCCCCCTCCTAAAGACACCTCCTGTATCTGTATACACAGACAAATAATGACCTACATTGTAGCTCACTCGTAAAGACAACTCCTGTATCTTTATACACAGGTAAATAAAGACCTACCTTGTAGCTCACTCGTATAGACACCTCCTGTATCTTTATACACAGGTAAATAATGACCTACCTTGTAGCTCACTCATAAAGACACCTCCGGTATCTTTATACACATGTATGTCACTTTGGCGCTTTGAGTACAAGACTTACTCAATTCAAACGCAGTAATGATACAAATTGAAAAAGTAAAACCTGAAACTTCATCGGTATATATTTTCCGGAATTATTACAAATTACAATCTGCAATTTGACGATCAATCTAGTGTTAAAATTAATTATTGTTTGCGACGAATGTTTACAAAATACTGAATTAACATGACAGAAACGGATTCCCAACTAACTTCACTGATTTTCAAGGGTTTTTCTAGGACTCTCATTGATTTTCAAGGGTTTTTCAAGGCTTACAGTCGTTTTTAAGGGTTTTTCAAGACAGACATCAAATTCAAGGGTTTTTCAAGACCTGTGCGAACCATGAATGACCTACCTTGTAGCTCACTCGTAAAGACACCTCCGGTATCTTGATGTACAGGAATGTGTTGTTCTTAGCTGCTCGCTCCTATAAAAGAACGTAGCGGAAACAATTCCTGGTCAAAATTCTAAATAATTTGGGGCTTATATAATTTTTTAAGTTTTTAACTCTGTCTAAAAGAATTACGTGGATACGAATATATCCTTTCAGAGTTATTTGTTCATATCAAGATTGTCAAACCAGCTAATTTCAGTAACTAGTAACTCGAAAGACTGAGTAACCAGTTAATCTGTTGACTTGGTTATCAAACAATAACCAACAACAAGCCAATGTTACATTCAAAACATTGATATTAATTAGCACCATCTTTTCGCTTGTAAGCCAAATCATAAACAAGAACAGTACATCCAGTAGTATATAGCAGAATTTATCACATACCTATATAATCTTGCAATAGTAATACAACAATTTTCTGTTGATGTTTTCTGTTGGTTTTTATTACACATGTGTGATACAAGATGCTGTATCACCATACTAGCCGTAACTACTTTTTATGGGAATCCCCTTGTCATGGCAAACTGAAAAGTTCCCAGTATTTGCAAAAAATATTGAAGTTCATAAAATCTTTTTATCAATCTCTACCAAATACGGGAGGTATGTGATAAAAGCAAGACCACACACTTATGTTTTTCTAAAGAATGTGCTCCACGCACTCTTGAATATATTCGTCCGCGCAATAAACTCATGCTTTCCGATTCGTTAGAAAAACACAAGTGTGTAGACTTGTATATGTAATACATTTACCGGTTGCTATTTTCACTCAAAGAATCACAAATTTGAAATTTAGAATTTTGGCTGGCAAGCTCGTTTACAGATAAAATTCAAACGTGCTCTTTAAATGATCCAACACATTACATGTCCCAACTCACAAGTTCTACCTCACAACATTGCATCCCATTTCCAATTTTAAATAAGTCCGGATTTCATATGGTGCTTACAGTATCTTTTTGTTGAACTTTGCTATCGTATACTACAAAAACAATACTAACTGCATGGGCTGTGCGTTGTTCACAAAAACTTTTACACCTTCAATCATTGAGTTAATTGATTGGGTTTCTAAATTTGACATAATTTACTTACCGTATTACACGATCGTAACATACCTTCATTTTGTCAATATCGTTTCCAGAGCTAAATGAAGCAGACTTTTTCAGTGAGTCCTTCTCCTTTTTGGCGGAGGGTTTACGGTCAAGCTTCTTCTTAGACGAGGCCCCACCATCAGATACATCATCTACAGACACCAAGGAAATGTCAAATCAGGCAGGCAAATAAATGTCAATGTCAGTTTGATCTATGTAGATAACTTTATTATTCATACATTTAGAATTATGTCTACACACTACAATCAGTTCATACTAAAAGAGTAAAGGAATCTCAACACCACAAGGATGTGTCGTGTTATTTACTGTCTACAGGTTTCGGTTTGCTATGCGGCCACCATCAGGACAAAGGTATACTGTGGCTAAACCCTGAGGTACAGAAATGGGGTACCAAAGATTTACACAATGGTAAGTTGTATTACGACGACATAATAGCCATGATGTAAGTAGTGGATTCCCCCAAGGAAGCTACCGATCACCAATTATTTGTTAAAATACACTCAGTTGAAACAAGGTTGGATTCAAGCTTTTATATTATATGTGGTAAGATGTGATATCTGATAAACAGTAAGGGCAGTTCCTTCATGTTCAAATGATAAAATTTATGAACATATTCCAAAGGTTTTATTAAGCTCAATGCTAAAAAAATTGAGTATATCTCGGGTCACCAATACAAAATGTACCTGTTATACCTGAGAGGCTTCATGTTCTGTGTTATAGCTTTGAATGAAACTTGACCAAAAACATCTGGTTCAAACTTTCTTATACCATGTTATATGCATGACAGTTACAGTTTGAATGTGTAAAAACCAGTTACTATAGAAATGGTTACATTCCGCCTCTATTACTCACCATGGGTATCCTCATCAATGTTCTTGTCCGGGAAGAAAAACGTCATCATAGTTTTGAAGAAATGGTGGGTGAGTTGGATCTGCATGGGTACAACGTTGACCTCAAAGTGTTCCTTCACCGCTATTCCTCCCACTATAGCAGTCAAAGGAAACGTACGTTAATTTTTGCCTTTTGTCATTAATTATTTTAATTTCAAATTATGGCTCGTATGTTAACACAAATTTATTTTCGTAATTTTCAACAAACGTCGCAGAATTGTTGATCAAGGGGAGGTACCTCAACTTGTTTATATTACTTGGAATTCCTACGCTGTTGGCAGTTCATGAGCTGGACAACTCGCAACTAATGTTGGTAAGATTATATAGTGGTAGTGCCATGAAAAGGGAACATACTTTCAATTTCAAAGTATTTTATTGACAATACATATATAATACAAACATATAAGTTAACATTAAAGGAGATATTTGAACAGTATTGACAAAAGAATAATACAACAGGCTTTGCCTATATCAGTCTTCTTCTAATTCCGGTAGATATGTACAATGCTTAAATATATAAAATGTTGTGATTCGTTTCCTCTCACACTCATGCACACCCACACCCACACCAGCTTATGTCTAATACTCGTTATTTAAGGGATAAAACTTGCCTGAATAACAATAATTATAACAATACATGAATATTCATTTGGAAATTTATCTAGCACGTATAAGTAACGAAACGTTTTGATGATTTAATATAAGAGTCAACATGTATAAGAATAGTTTTATTTAATTGGTTGGATGCATTACTAATACCATATACTAAACAGTGCAGATTTAAATATCCTACTAGATTATAAATAGTGGTAATATGATGCCTAATATTAGAATACAGAGGACATACTTGATTATCTGCATTACTTTATCACTGAAATGACACTTCAGCTATAGGGCCTACATACACGAATATCAAGAAAAAGAACTTCGTCAAACTTTGAATAAAAGGTTTGTACATGGCACAGTCAGTTAATGTGTTAGTTGCCTTTATGTACCTGGTGGTCTCTCACTACACAAGATTCTGATGGCCATCTGACGGTTGTCACTTTCCTCCTTCCCGGTAGGGTGTAGGGGCACTATCACATCCTATAGTCAAATACAAAATCTACAATCATTATCCCACAATTGCAACCCATCAAATTAATAACAAACAGACTAAGTCCCTTTTAATACCAGACTTTAAATATAAATGTAATAAATATTGTCAATTGAAATATTAATTTAAATATGAAAGTCAAAAGCATAATTGTCAGGTGTGGCCATTGTGGTCTTACAGCCGACATGGATCTCCTACCTTGTATATAGCGTTGGGGAGGAGATTGGTCATCTTTATCCAGCCTAGCTCCAGCTGATGGGTCCACGTGTCGTTGTCTCTGTTCACCTTGGTGTACCTGTTATCACACATAAATTATTTAAGTTCAAAATAAATGTCCAACCTGCTTGAAAAAATTGAGAAAACTAACAAACAATACCCCACCCTCCTTCCACGGGCTGGATTCATACAAAGGTGTTTGAAATTCTGTAAACCGAGATAAAAATCATATGGAAAAAAAAGGGTATTACTAGAACTTCAAACACCTTTGATTCATGGTGAAATTCCATTTTCTATTTTTAGTAAGTGACCTTGACTTCTTATGAATAGTGACCATTACATTTGATGATCATGGTCTTACATGAAGTTTCTTTAAAGTTTGTCTAGAAATATGGCGGCTAGAGCGACTAATGTGACAACGGAATTATAACATTTTAGTAAAATCTGTTGCCTCCAACCAATCAAACTAAAAAAAATTGTCAAAGATCGGCATATGTTAAATTTCATCAAATTTGTCAAGAAATATGACTGTTGACGTAATGGCAAGGATTGACAATGAAATTCTACTTCTGTTTATAGTGACTTTGGCAACCTAAGCTATTATGCACATTTTCAAAATTATCCAGGATATATGATATCCGAGGCAAAGATACCTGTGAAGTTTCATCAAATCCTGTCAAGACATTCTTTAGAGTGATGACAAGGAGTGTGATGGACAGACAGGAGGACAAACACAAATATATATTTCTTTCCATGAAAGCCATCTAATACCCTTCACATCTTAATTTAATTAATTTTTAGCTAGTGTTCACCCCCCTCTCAGCTGTATAGGGTAGGGGAGATCACTCTCATTGGCATGTTGAGGCCAATCTGTTTTTTAGACGAACAAACATACAGATATAAAACTTGTACAGGATTCACAATCCTTTGACAGTCAGCTCATGGTTTAAAAAATACATTTTTTAATTTTGTATTTTATAGCTCTTTTTTCCCCATTCTGTATAATGCTAAGCATCTGAAATTATGAATGAAACTATCAGCTGAATATTTTACCATAAAGGTAATAATTATTAACCACTAATGATAACCAGCTTATATAAGTTAAAGCCTCCATTGAAACCCTTTGGCATGAAACTTAAAAAAGATCTGACTACGTACACAAAATTTCGGAGTGCCAGGTCTGTGACCCCTAGCTGACCATCGGCTTCGGTCAGTCTCCAGCGCGCAAACTTGAAGCACACCTCATGTCTCTTGTCTACCCTGGCCTGGTGGGCTGTATAACAAAAGGTAAATGATAGATACAAATATAATCTTCCCTACTTAGGATTTAGTACTACACCATCTAAATTATTTTTACCAATTAATATTTGATTGATAATTATTAAAAAAGTGTTATTTTAGATTCATAGATGAAATTATAGAATTAAGTAAAATTATCAATATTTGAAATGAATAACTCCTCATAACCATGCATTACTTTATATTTGTAATCCAATTCCCTCTACCCTTTAGGATAGGATGTGTAAGCTATCATAATTTCTTACTTTTAGTGGTTTTCATCTGTGACTTGACTTGCAGCTGACTCTCCTTCAAACAGCTGAAAAATGGAATAAATAATTATGTGCTACACTGTAAATAAACAACAATTTCAAAGTTGTGTTTATTATGATTCATTGAAGTATTATTATAATTAAATTAAATTCTTTTTTTCTTTTTTATTGACAGTGGATGGCTACTGCCTCTCATAGGTCTATTTCTCTTATTTTAATCTATATATAGTGTAAGGTAAAACGTGTACGGTTAACCAGATTCTGTATATACCTTATTTGACATCAAATAAGTCCCAAACCCTTGTGAAAAAAGATTGACCAGAAGTAGGGAGGGGGCTTAATTGGGAGTGACCCTTCTGTTCGCCAATGTCTGCCATCATGTATATAGCACTGTTTTGATCTATGACCAAACTACATATCATAAACTCGTAGTTACTCATGTTGTAAAAATAACAACAAACAGGCAGAAGATTTAATAACGATCACCATACGTTGATTAGTTGATTGTGCTGTTGTTTTTAGGTGAAAGAGGGGTACTATTTGCAGTCAAATATGGTAATCTAGACCTCTTGGTCAGCAAGGCAGATAAAACAGTGAACAAATGTAATCTTATTTTCAAGGACTCTCAGAAAATAAGCTAGATTTTATGAAGATGATGAAAGTTGAAGGTTCTGCTACAGGTAGGTATGACATCAATGTAAATTCCTATGAAATAAAACGACAGCAATGTTTAGCTCTACCCACCTAATCCTGAGTGACAGCTCTACCCACCTAATCCTGAGTGACAGTTCTACCCACCTAATCCTGAGTGACAGCTCTACCCATCTAATCCTGAGTGACAGTTCTACCCACCTAATCCTGAGTGACAGTTCTACCCACCTAATCCTGAGTGACAGCTCTTCATTGGAGGAGTTGATTCGTTCCTTACAGTCATACAGCATCATCTCCAGTTTATCTGATTGCTCCAACAGACTGCAACACACATTAAATAATTATACCATTATAACACACCAAAATTAGACCATAAACCATATAAACATTTTAGAAACCATTACCCCACCCCCTCCCCAATATATATTAAGTTTGGATGAATACTGTTATGGGACCCTTGATATATGGAATCAGGATTAATCTGGCCTTTTCATTACAGGTACAAAGTTCCTGATGTACATATTTACCTGAACTCTTCTTTACAGGCACCAAGCTTCTAAATAATGTACAAATTTATCAAGACTCGTCTTTACAGGTATGAAGTTCCTAATATACACTCAATGTTACAGGTACCAAGATTCTTCTTTGTTACAGGTATGAAGTTCCTAATATACCTCATTGTAACAGGAACTGAGATTCTTCTACGTTACAGGTATGAAGTTCCTTCTCGTTACAGGTACAAAACTCCTAATGTACATACTTACCTAGACTCCTCGTTACAGGTAAAAAACTCCTAATTTACATACTTAGCTCGACTCCACGTTACAGGTACAAAACTCCTAATGTACATACTAACCTGGACTCCTCGTTACAGGTACAAAACTCCTAATGTACATACTAACCAGGACTCCTCGTTACAGGTACAAAACTCCTAATGTACATACTTACCAAGACTCCTCGTTACAGGTACAAATCTCCTAATGTACATACTAACCTAGACTCCTCGTTACAGGTACATAACTCCTAATGTACATACTTACCTAGACTCCTCGTTACAGGTACAAAACTTCTAATGTATATACTTACCTAGACTCCTCGTTACAGGTACATAACTCCTAATGTACATACTTACCTAGACTCCTCATAACAGGTACAAAACTTCTAATGTACATACTTACCTAGACTCCTCGTTACAGTTACAAAACTTCTAATGTACATACTTACCTAGACTCTTCGTTACAGGTACAAAACTTCTAATGTTCATACTTACCTAGACTCCTCGTTACAGGTACAAAACTCCTAATGTACATACTAACCTGGACTCCTCGTTACAGATACAAAACACCTAATGTACATACTAACCAGGACTCCTCGTTACAGGTACAAAACTCCTAATGTACATATTTACCTAGACTCCTCGTTACAGGTACAAAACTCCTAATGTACATACTTACCAAGACTCCTCGTTACAGGTACAAAACTCCTAATGCACATAGTTTCTTGTCACAAATACGAACTCCTAAGGTACTTTTTTACCCGAGATCTTCATTACAGGTAAGTAGCTGTCTGATATTAAAATTTACCTCTGCAACTCCTTATTACGTTATTACATGTTAATTAACTGAACTATTTACCTGGGCTCTTCGTTATCCTCCAGCTCCTTATCTATCAGGTACAATTCCCTCTCCAGCCTTCGCAGTGTCAATACATTCTCTCTGGAAAGTAGTACCAGATTTACACACATTATAACCTTCACCTCATCTTACTGACTCATTCTCCACTTGACATATTTTTTTTTTAGAAAATTTCCAAGAGCTATATTCAAAACAGAAATTGTTTTAGTGTGAAATTAAAAACCAGACCTTTGGCCTAGGGGTTAAGGTCATTACAAAGACATTTGATTGAGATGATTGGAAAACAAGGTCTAACATTCCTATACATCTAGTTAGTCCTCCTTATCACCTTCTATGGGTGTTACAGGTACACGTCAATTTTACCTGACCTTTGACAAAAAAAGGTCACAGGGACTGACCTTTCAAGTTTCATCAAGATATCTTCGAACAATCTAATAGTTACTACCCAGAAGAGCCAGTACTAAAATAGATGTCACCCTTTTATTCACGTGTTCCTAACAAACTCCTACATGTAAATACCAAATGTGTAATATTTTTGTTTCTCATACACATGTCCCCGATAAAAGTTTGTTTTGCATGTATGACACTGCTAGCTGGACAAAGGCCACATTCAAGAACTACTCATATCTGCCCAGCATGTACCATATCCTCCTGGCATGTGCCATATCTGCCTGGCATGAGCCCTATTGGTTTAACTTCCAGTTCGACACATTTCAGAAAAAAAAATTGCCACAATTACACTTGATTTGGTATTGCTGATCATTTTGACACACTAAAATATTCAGAGTGTGTAGTATGTGGGCTGAAATGTCTTGAGTTAATACAGGTTAGGATAAGTACTTGACAAACTTGTGTGTAGATTAGGTAAACGCGTAATATAACGGTGCACCTGACAAACTTGTGTGTAGATCTCATAAACCGCCGATATAACGGTGAACCTGACAAACTTGTGTGTAGATTAGGTACACGCGTAATATAACGGTGCACCTGACAAACTTGTGTGTAGATTAGGTAAGCATGTAATATAACGGTGTACCTGAGAAACTTGTGTGTAGATCAGATAAACTTGTAATATAACAGTGTACCTGACAAACTTGTGTGTAGATGAGGTAAAGATGCAAGATAACGGTGTACCTGACAAACTTGTGTGTAGATGAGGTAAAGATGCAAGATAACGGTGTACCTGACAAACTTGTGTGTCGATCAGATAAACACGTAATATAACGTTGTACCTGACAAACTTGTGTGTAGATTAGGTACACGCGTAATATAACGGTGCACCTGACAAACTTGTGTGTAGATTAGGTAAATATGTAATATAACGGTGTACCTGAGAAACTTGTGTGTAGATCAGATAAACATGCAATATAACGGAGTACCTGACAAACTTGTGTGTAGATGAGGTAAAGATGCAAGATAACGGTGTACCTGACAAACTTGTGTGTCGATCAGATAAACACGTAATATAACGTTGTACCTGACAAACTTGTGTGTAGATGAGGTAAAGATGCAAGATAACGGTGTACCTGACAAACTTGTGTGTAGATTAGGTACACGCGTAATATAACGGTGCACCTGACAAACTTGTGTGTAGATGAGGTAAAGATGCAAGATAACGGTGTACCTGACAAACTTGTGTGTCGATCAGATAAACACGTAATATAACGGGGTACCTGACAAACTTGTGTGTAGATCAGAAAAACATGTAATATAACGGTGTACCTGAGAAACTTGTGTGTAGATCAGATAAACTTGTAATATAACAGTGTACCTGACAAACTTGTGTGTAGATGAGGTAAAGATGCAAGATAACGGTGTACCTGACAAACTTGTGTGTCGATCAGATAAACACGTAATATAACGTTGTACATGACAAACTTGTGTGTAGATTAGGTAAGCATGTAATATAACGGTGTACCTGACAAACCTGTTTGTAGATCAGATAAACTTGTAATATAACAGTGTACCTGACAAACTTGTGTGTCGATCAGATAAACACGTAATATAACGGTGTACCTGACAAACCTGTTTGTAGATCAGATAAACTTGTAATATAACAGTGTACCTGACAAACTTGTGTGTAGATTAGGTACACGCGTAATATAACGGTGCACCTGACAAACTTGTGTGTAGATCTCATAAACCGCCGATATAACGGTGAACCTGACAAACCTGTGTGTAGATCAGAAAAACATGTAATATAACGGTGTACCTGAGAAACTTGTGTGTAGATCAGATAAACACGTAATATAGCGGAGTACCTGACAAACTTGTGTGTAGATGAGGTAAAGATGCAAGATAACGGTGTACCTGACAAACTTGTGTGTAGATTAGGTAAACAAGTAATATAAAGGTGTACCTGACAAACTTGTGTGTAGATCTCGTAGGCCTGCGTTTCATTGGAATACCTGACAAACTTGTGTGTAGATTAGGTACACGCGTAATATAACGGTGCACCTGACAAACTTGTGTGTAGATTAGGTAAGCATGTAATATAACGGTGTACATGACAAACTTGTGTGTAGATCAGAAAAACATGTAATATAACGGTGTACCTGAGAAACTTGTGTGTAGATCAGATAACCATGTAAGATAACGGTGTACCTGACAAACTTGTGTGTAGATTAGGTAAACACGTAATATAACGGTGTACCTGACAAACTTGTGTGTAGATTAGGTAAACATGTAATATAAAGGTGTACCTGATAAACTTGTGTGTAGATTAGGTAAACATGTAATATAACGGTGTACCTGACAAACTTGTGTGTAGATTAGGTAAACTCGTAATATAAAGGTGTACCTGACAAACTTGTGTGTAGATCAGATAAACATGAAATATAACGGTGTACCTGACAAACTCCTGTATTTGCTGTATGGGTGTCTTCTGGTCCTCCTCCCGCAAACTTGTGTGTAGATCAGATAAACATGTAAGATAACGGTGTACCTGACAAACTTGTGTGTAGATCAGATAAACATGTAATATAACGGTGTACCTGACAAACTCCTGTATTTGTTGTATGGGTGTCTTCTGGTCCTCCTCCCGTGACAGCTGTAACTGGAACCTCATACTCTGAAGTTTCTCTGTTGTTTCCTGTAAACAAAAAAGTTGGATATGGGAAAACAATTCTTATAAACACTTCACCCATATTTTTCACTATCATTAATTGAATATGTCACCAAACAAAATCTGTCTCTCAATAGGACATATACTAACTTAAAGCCTTACATAACAGGAGGTCATGGCTAACTGTGCGCCTATGATTTTGTCATGACATATTCCCCGGATGTAGACCACACCAGCGAGCATAACCCAGGGAATTTTGAGGATAAATATAAATTCCAGATTTTTTAGGTTGATATCATGCAAATATAAGCTTTGAGTCGTTATTGACTGACACTTGCCTTTTTAGTTTTCTCCACATGTAGAAGTAGATTGTTCACAATATCAAGTATCATGGCATACTGCAGCTGAAACACAAAGCAGGGGAGATAATCCGAAGTAATATGGTGTTCTAAAGTCATTGTTCATTCTGTCCAGATAATTGTGGCACGAGAAGACAAATATATTGGAGTGGATATATTTTTTTCTTACTAGTTTCAATTAATGAAATAGAAATGATGAGCGACAACACCACTGAATCCAGTACAAAATGTAATGTTTGATTTACATCCTAAGTGGCGACATGTTTCGGCCAAAGGGAGGCCGTCTTCAGAGCTTAAGTTTTTAACTTGTATTAAATCTGATTCCATCAAAGTTAAATGTCCTACCAGTGTATTTGAATATGTGTGTCTCTGTAAAAACGAGATTCAGTAAGAACAGACACATCACAAAGCAGAAGCAGCTGATGTGTTCTAAAATCTTATAAAAACTAGATTAATTAAAACCATTGTAATCCTAGAGAAACAGAGAGTGATCTCACAAAGATATACCCACACTTGCGCATACAATGTTTCTGGAGCAAAAATTAAAGTTTCAAGGGCCATAGAAGACGTCAAATCACAAACTCCTATCTTCATGCACATGTACACCTTCACTGTGTAAAGTTACATAAAAGTCCAGTATACCGTATGAGGGCGGTACTGTTGTGCTTAATTGATCATGGACAGGCTGATACAAGGACGGACAGAAGGACAAAAAAAAAAAATCCTTTGCAGGGGGTATAATTATATCATAAAGCAGTTGTAGCTGATATTTTATAAAAGTAACTGTCAGATATATCTTAACATCTCATTCGATACAGTCTGTAACTCACGCACTTTTACTTTGATACAGAATGTGGTAGATTGGTGAATTGTTTACTTACAGAGTTGGTACAGATGTTGAGATCGTGGTGAGTTACTTACAGAGTTGGTACAGATGTTGAGATCGTGGTGAGTTACTTACAGAGTTGGTACAGATGTTGAGATCGTGGTGAAGCAGTGTAAAGCAGTCAACTCCTTCTTCCCTAGACATCATGTCGGAGGAATCCTCGGATGGCTACAGGTGAAAATCATAGGTAAACAGTTATAGCCATTCATCATCCATACTTATTATTAATAGTCAAAGGTCAGTCATTTGCACTGAATTATCTAGGTTAAGAAAAAAATATTCTTTTTTAAAGAGATCTACAGACTTTGTGGTATTTTACCAGGCAATGGGATGACTTACTGGCGGTGGTATTTCCGGAAGTGTTTCATCATCCACCTCGCCATAGCTGGCAAAGAACACCTGACATTTACACCTGGAGATGATTCTCTGTAGCTGTACTGCTGGCTTTTGATGAGACTTCTTCTGTGAATGCCAAAGATAAGAGAACAAGGGGATAGAAACATGTAGATCAATGTAGACATACAAATGTCACTGAATGCTTGCCAATGTACACCACTATCAATATTTTTCGAGAAAATAAACTGGACGCACACATTGGCCATACTTCAGAATTGTCGAAAAGTGATATACATTCTTCTGCATATTTATTATATACAATTCTTCTGCATTTTTATTAAGAGCTGGTATTCCATGCAAGATGTGGCACTAATGCCCATTATGACGATTTTTCAACTTAATATTTTATTTTCTACAAAAACTGTTGAAAGAATGTACACCTCTATTCAATACTTCAATATGGTCAAATTCATACATGTTTTATATGTGTTGATGTTTTATAAAGGAGTGTGCTGGGGTGATTTATGGAGCAAGTGTTAAAGTTACTGTCAAAATTGGAACTTTTTAATGCTCCCATGCGTATTACAACATCTTTTTCATGAAAATCCTCTACAGACCACACCAACTTATGAAAACCTGCCCCCAATGCTAAAGACACACTCACAATTTATTCCTACCAGTGTTGAATTCCAGGCAGACATATCCACCTGTTCTGTCCACTTACTTTGTTGAAGACACACCCACTTTTCAGTAAAGCTACCATGTTGTAGACACACCCTCTTTTCAGTAAAGCTACAATGTTGCAAACACACCCACCTTTCAGTAAAGCTACCAAGTTGTAGACACACCCACTATTCCGTAAAGCTACCATGTTGCAGACACACCCACTTTTCAGTCTCTTACAGACTGCTCAATGTGTTGTAGTCACTCTTACTAGCTAAGTTCTGGCCACAGTGATCTGGATACTCCCGCCTCTTTAGTGCATTCAGTGCTGTAGACACACCCACTTTGCAGTAAAGCTACCATGTGGTAGACACACCCACTTTTCAGTCCTGGTACCATGTTGTAGACACCCCCACTTTTCAGTAAAGCTACCATGTTGCAAACACACCCACTTTTCAGTCCTGCTACCATGTTGTAGACACACCCACTTTTCAGTCTCTTACAGACTGCTCAATGTGTTGTAGTCACTCTTACTAGCTAAGTTCTGGCCACAGTGATCTGGATACACCCTCCTTTTTAGTGCATTCAGTGCTGTAGACACACCCACCTGTTTGGTCCCACCCACTTTGCTGTAGACCACACCTCCAACACTGCTGCCACTCCCAACCATCTCTGACATCCCTGACAGTTCAGGCTCGGAGCGGTCTTCCACATTCTCCGGTTGTAGCCAGGCCATAGTGTCATCATCTAGGTCATTGTCTGGGTCAACCGTGGCATAGTACTGTTATTAAATTTACAGCAAGATAACTTAGTCATTATATGTACAATGTAATAATGAATTTTAAATGTTGCTCTCTTATCAAAAAAGTAAGATCAATTTAGATGAAATGGTGCGTGTTCCACTAAAATTAAAATAATGGAAGATTATGCCATGAAGTTAGAACAGAAATCTTTGACACAAATTTTATACAGCTGCATTATGAATCCTTATCCTGTCAACTGAACTAAACGTGAACAAACTGAAGGTTTACATCAAGGGTGGCTTATACTTAAAACATAATAATATGACACACTGACCTGCATACATTCCACAGAAGTGACCCAGGAGGTCTTGCTGCGGAGCTGATTGTCCTGCCACACTGGGTGGTGAGTACAGGATACGATCTGGGCCTTGGCAGCACTCACGATCACATACCCCGACGTCTCGCATCCCTTCACCATCATCTGGCTGTTGTGTAGTTCAACTTTTGCACAAATAATAGAAAAGCATACAGTAAAACATAAGGTGTTACATACACCGACTTTTTTTAGTTTCTCTGAAAATATTTTTCCACAAAAGTTTGCAACAAAGCTAATTATTCATGCTCCACAAGAGATCAATCATAAAATGTATCCAAACTATTTTTAAACTTGTGAGAGTATTATTTTAGTCAGGTGGATGGATCGACAGACAGATGCATAAATGACCCCTAAAGATAATGTTCCCCTGTTCCAGGGGGGATAACTCACTTAGCCAGTTTTTGCAGTAGACATCATCTGTTTGGCAGGCGGCCACACCATGTAGCTGGTCCATGTTCACACTGGACGGCTGGGCAATAAAAGATTATAATAAATCAACAGTGCTGAATAGTTCTGGATGCAGAAATGTGTATAAGATTCTTAAACTCTGAACAAAGCACTTAATTTCAAGGCCACTAATTAATGACACCACAGAATTCACAAAGCAGTAAAGATTAGGAGGAAAGCACTCTAAATCCATTACAGTTCCTCGTTTTTTTCAAAAAGTTTTGCCGTAAAGACCAGTTTTCAGCATGCTTACCTCCTCTGTAAATGCAACAGATTTGCTATCGGACTCTGACACCAGCTTCATCAGAAGTGAGTGGGTGTGTCCGCCGGTGAGCTTCATCCCTGGGCTGGGGTTGGGAGTAGTAGGGGATCCTGGGGCACCTGCTGTAAGGGACATGGACCTCGTTTTCTGCAAGACAAAACTCATGGCTGACAAAAGATTCAGATAGGATTAAATTATGACATATGAGTTATTCTGTAAATATATTAAACACATCTATGATCATAAAAAATTCATTGAACTGAACCCTTAATGCATTTAGAGATTGAGTCATATTTAGATACCATTGAAGTAGCCTTTACTGGACTTATATTTTTATATGTTTACACACTAATCTAAATAGATAGGTAACTTTAACCACACTGAAAACACTGCATCTGCTACAAGTATTAGATTTAACCCACTGATTGAAGGTGATAGTGCAGGATTCATAGACTTAAACAATTCCTAATAATTTTTTTTACAACTGTCTCATTAACAAACACATTAGGAACTGTTTATAAATCCTACATTATAATCTCTTAAAATGTACACCTATTATTTCTTCTTCAATTAAGAAATCTTACATTTGAACCTTGACCTCCGTCAACCTTGAACTTTTTGAGTGCATCAGCAGAGAGGTTTCGCTTGAGTGACTGAGCCTTGGTGTAGCTGTCGAGTACGCCCAGTAAGACAGTGCGGTTGTGTTTGGTCCACGCCCCCTTTAGGTCATGCACTTGTACATTGTGGGTCGACTACAAGGTTAAGAAATATGACAGGATTTAGTTTCCGATCAGCTTATTCATTTTTCATCCAATGAAAAAAATTAATACAATCACATTGTAAAGAGGAGACTGTTCACTCTTGTAAATTTGGATCTCACCTTTAACAAACCTAATTTAACAATTAAAGATGAAGAAACAATTGTCTTTTCATTACCTATCAATTTATAACAATTTTCAGCTGAGCTGGTCAAACTTGAGGGCATTGTGATATATATTGTTTGAGCGTACTTTAACAGATTCACTGCTTGAAGACCTTGTCATAAAGATTTGTTGTCACAGGACCTTGGATAAATGATAATGGTCGTTGTTTGAGGACGTTTTTGATATATAAATGGCACTTAAAGGTTCTGTATTGCAAGTTCTAAAGAGAATATTTGACTGAACATTTTTCTTAATAACTAACGAAACATTCTTTGATAACAGAAGTAGCCAAAAATATGGTGTTACTACACCAACCTTATCAAATTGTTTCTCGGTGTCATCCTCCTCCTCTTCCTCCTCCTCATATGATGTACTGGTGTTGTCTCCCCTTTGGTAGGAAACTCTGAGGACAATATATACCAATTATCAGAGGACAATATATACCAATTATCAGAGGACAGTATATACCAATTATCAGAGGACAATATATACAAATTATCAGAGGACATTATATACCAATTATCAGAGGACAGTATATACCAACTATCAGAGGACAGTGTATATACCAATTATCAGAGGACAATATATGCCAATTATCAGAGGACAATATATACCAATTATAAGAGGACAATATAAACCAATTATCAGAGGACAATATATACAAATTATCAGAGGACAGTAAATACCAATTATCAGAGGACAATATATACCAATTATCAGAGGACAATATATACCAATTATCAGAGGACAGTATATACCAATTATCAGAGGACATTATATACCAATTATCAGAGGACAGTATATACCAATTATCAGAGGACAGTGTATATACCAATTATCAGAGGACAATATATGCCAATTATCAGAGGACAATATATACCAATTATAAGAGGACAATATAAACCAATTATCAGAGGACAATATATACAAATTATCAGAGGACAGTAAATACCAATTATCAGAGGACAATATATACCAATTATCAGAGGACAATATATACCAATTATCAGAGGACAGTATATACCAATTATCAGAGGACAATATATACCAATTATCAGAGGACAATATATACCAATTATCAGAGGACAGTATATACCAATTATCAGAGGACAATATATACCAATTATCAGAGGACAGTATATACCAATTATCAGAGGACAATATATACCAATTATCAGAGGACAGTATATACCAATTATCAGAGGACAATATATACCAATTATCAGAGGACAGTATATACCAATTATCAGAGGACAATATATACCAATTATCAGAGGACAGTATATACCAATTATCAGAGGACAATATATACCAATTATCAGAGGACAGTATATACCAATTATCAGAGGACAATATATACCAATTATCAGAGGACATTATATACCAATTATCAGAGGATAATATATACTAATTATCAGAGGACAATATATACCAATTATCAGTGATCTAAAGTTGAATTAAGACAACCAAAGGCTGCAATTTCAAAATGTTTTTATATGAAGCTATATATACTTGCTCAAAGTGACTTTCCCTACCCTCAAATACAATTTTAGGTTTGCATATTTAAATTTATTAGACTACTTCTTAATAAGGATAAATTGATAAATGTAAATGTGCTCCTTCCCACACAAACCCTTAATTTTTAGTGTTCACAACGCCTGTTATGGATAATTAAGAAACAATTCAGAAGTTCAGTAGTTCAGTTTTACAGCTCACCTGCCAACACTCAGGAAGAAGTTCTTATCAACTGGATTACGGAGGGACACATTCAACTGAAGTAAACAAGAAAATCAATCTGATTATCAAAGATTTAATTGCAAACATAGATAATTATTCATTCAACATACACATCCTTTACAAGGTAACAAATTGTTAATAATTTCTGTTTAGATGATTTATCCGTTTTAGTTTTCTAAATACACTGAAACCTTAAATTCAGATCACTATAAACCCTTGCCAATCATTAAAGAATGTATGACTTTAAGATCAGAGTCACATGATCCCATTAGGTGGTATCACATGATCCTGAAGAATGAAGTGATTATCGTTACAGTTTTATCTTACTTAAAAATCATCAATAACGATTGTTCCATGCGATAGCCTAAAGGTGTCAAAACTTAATAAAAATGAGAAAAATCATGATAATGATGCTCAAACAAAACAGGAGTGTTCGCAAATCAGCACTATCCCAACTAAGCAGCATAATCCTAAAACCCTTATAAACGATTCCAGCTAAAGGTTTCAAACAATGGACAGGCTAAAACCCTTACAAACGATTTTAGCTAAAGGTTTCAAACAATGGACAGGCTAAAACCCTTACAAACGATTCTAGCTAAAGGTTTTAAACAATGGGCAGGCTAAAACCCTTACAAACGATTCTAGCTAAAGGTTTCAAACAATGGGCAGGCTAAAACCCTTACAAACGATTCTAGCTAAAGGTTTCAAACAATGGGCAGGCTAAAACCCTTACAAACGATTCTAGCTAAAGGTTTCAAACAATGGGCAGGCTAAAACCCTTACAAACGATTCTAGCTAAAGGTTTCAAACAATGGGCAGGCTAAAACCCTTACAAACGATTCTAGCTAAAGGTTTCAAACAATGGGCAGGCTAAAACCCTTACAAACGATTCTAGCTAAAGGTTTCAAACAATGGGCAGGCTAAAACCCTTACAAACGATTCTAGCTAAAGGTTTCAAACAATGGGCAGGCTAAAACCCTTACAAACGATTCTAGCTAAAGGTTTCAAACAATGGGCAGGCTAAAACCCTTACAAACGATTCTAGCTAAAGGTTTCAAACAATGGGCAGGCTAAAACCCTTACAAACGATTCTAGCTAAAGGTTTCAAACAATGGGCAGGCTAAAACCCTTACAAACGATTCTAGCTAAAGGTTTCAAACAATGGGCAGGCTAAAACCCTTACAAACGATTCTAGCTAAAGGTTTCAAACAATGGGCAGGCTAAAACCCTTACAAACGATTCTAGCTAAAGGTTTCAAACAATGGGCAGGCTAAAACCCTTACAAACGATTCTAGCTAAAGGTTTCAAACAATGGGCAGGCTAAAACCCTTACAAACGATTCTAGCTAAAGGTTTCAAACAATGGGCAGACTAAAACCTTTACAAACGATTCTAGCTAAAGGTTTCAAACAATGGGCAGGCTAAAACCCTTACAAACGGTTCTAGCTAAAGGTTTCAAACAATGAACAAGCTAAAACCCTTACAAACGATTCTAGCTAAAGGTTTCAAACAATGGACAGGCTTTTCAATTAATATATTGTATCAATCTTCAGGTAAAATTCAATGAACTCCTCCTAAATTAAGCATTCTCTTCAATAACATGTGATTTTTATCAGAGGTGATAGACATCATGCTTATTTCATAAATAAACAACTCTGGTCCAACCGGTTCAACCTTTGTTATCGCAATAGACCAAAGCTGCTCATGACAATCTGCTCTACTTCTTAAAATGTCTTGTAGTACATGAAATATAGGATTACTTACTCTGACAGAGGAATGTTTGATTTGAAAAGTCTATGGGTGTTTTCTATGGATATGGTTGAAGTGAAATAGATGGTAATATTTTTTGTGAAATAGATAAATGATAATACTTTTTTTCCTCTACTTTGTGAAATAGATAGTAATATTTTTTGTGCAATAGATGGTAATATTTTTTGTGAAATAGATGGTAATATTTTTTGTGCAATAGATGGTAATATTTTTTCTGAAAAGATGATATTTTTTGTGAAATAGATGGTAATATTTTTTGTGAAATAAATGATAAATTTTTTGTGAAATAGATGGTAATATTTTTTGTGAAATAAATGATAATTTTTTTGTGAAATAGATGGTAATATTTTTTGTGAAATGAATGATAATATTTATTTTACTGTACTTTGTGAAATAGACGGTAATATTTTTGTGTGAAATAGATGGAAATATTTTTTTACTCTAAGAGACTTGATATCTACAAAGTAAAATAAACAGGCCAGAAAAGTGTTCAGACCAAGATTTGAACAAGAAATCCCTGAATTTAGATGGTGCCCTGCCAAATCAGCTCCCCGATCATGATCAACGGAAATCGACTCAGTTTGTTTCCACTACTATTTGCCCTCCTTTGCTAAGCTGCTTCTGTACATGCTGAGGCTGAGCAGTGACTCACTGACACCAAAGAAAACCTAACAGTGTACAGATTTGTATGATATGGTAACAGAAGAAAAGAGGAGATAAGCTTAATACTAAAAGCCACTCTACCTATAGGTACCTAGCAAGGCTCTAGACTAGCAAACAGCTATAGCTTTGTAAAGTCAGTGCAAAGATTTATCACCTGAAAACATGTATACGAATTTAGGTCAAAGGGCTACTATATACAAAATGATTGTCACACAATACCAACCAAAAATCATTTACCAGAGAAAACATCTTGTATTGATACAAACACAATGATGATGAAGATCTGGATCCAGATGATCAATTCCTGACTGGCTTAACTTCTTAATTCAAAATTTAATCTAATACTAGTATAAGTCTACCTGATATTGTCCCAAAGGGTCTAAATAGCCCTGCAGTATGGCAGCTTCAGTGTCGTCCTTTATCAGGTAAAATATGATAATCAATACCAGGTACAACAAAGATGATGGGGCAACAGAAAGTTTGATGTACACAAACCTTAATCCCCTGTCTGACAATATCAATAATGTTATGAGACTGTTAAACATCTGAGCTCATTTTTTAATTTCTATATCTGAACAGTTCTCTATTCTAAGAAAGTCTGTCACATTTAAGCCCAAACGACAGCAACATTGTGAGAAGAATGTGGTTGGTACCTGGTAGCCTAGGATTTTTTTGATTTTTTTTTGAGAAGATATTTCTTAAAAACTGCATTTTGAATGTTTTAGTTGGTTGATTTAATAAAGTTTTAAACATCATGACCTACAACGAAGAATGAAATGAAAATTGATGGAATATATCTGTTGTGTGCCATCATCATAAATAGCATTTCAAGCTTTAGCAGTAAACAGCATCAAGATTGCACTTTTTGGTGATTAAGGGATGACAGGTACAAGACAGCAGTCGGGAAGATATGTGTAAAAAATACTTTTTATCTTTCATTCTTGTGTGAACAAGATATAAATGTTTGGGATAAGAATGTGGTCTATGGGGTGTATGACATTTTATGTGGAGTTGTCACTTTTTTGTATAATGAAGACAACAAGGCAATTTATTGCAAGGCAATCCATAGACCCCCACCGGTATTGATTTCTATATTTAACAAACAGTGACCTAATTCTTGCACTCTGCACTCCGCAATCCCAAAATGTCCTTGTAAACCAAATCTGGATACTTCAGGTGAAAAAGTGTTAAAGATATGTCTTGAACAAACTTCTCAGACGGAAGAACGGAAGGACAGATTGCAAACCTAAAGTCCTCCCCAGGAACTGGTGGGGCACTAATTACATGATGTAATTTTAAGTATGGAAGTTACTGTGAAAATTGAAAAAATATATATATAGCAAATTGATAGATCCATCAAATTACTATATATATAATGGTACTTTAATATCCACATTAAACATTATGAACTGTTCTTTCTGTCCAAGACGACTGAACAATGTACTAAGCAAGTAACATCACAGTAATATCATACTACCTGACACTCAGATTATCATGAGTTTAACAGGTAACACATTGTAGTTAACACCTAGCCCCTTCGCATATCGGATTCAACCAGTTTGTCTGTTTTTAAATGTAACATTTTCGGGTATAAATCCTGGCGAAGCTGCAAATATTTATGCAGGCCTTGCAAGGCTTTGTCAAGGCTTACCTGAAACCAGCATCAGATAACTAGGTCCGACCTTAAGCTTATTTCATAAATAAACAACTCTGGTCCAACCGGTTCAACCTTTGTTATCGCAATAGACCAAAGCTGCTCATGACAATCTGCTCTACTTCTTAAAATGTCTCATAGTACATGAAATATAGGATTTCGTACTCAGAGGAATGTATGATTTGGGAAGTCTATGGGTGTTTTGCCTTAGAACGTCAATGGAAGTTTATGAACCTGCCAGCTTAAAGTGGTACAAATCACCTACAGCTCTAGATCTGCCGGATTGTTGTGATGTGAAACTTACAATCTGATTAAAATCATATGTTACATGGCTTCGTTAACTTCGTACAACGCCTGAACATCTGAGTGTGCCGCGGTCAGGGTCACGTTCAGGTGACCTTTATATTTATAAATACTCATTAAATTTTTACCAATCAGAGACCCTCTTTCAAAAGGGCACTCGGAGTTGGCGGACATTGATGAGAATGAAGCGAAAGTTCTGAAGTTATTTGAGATTGATCGTCTGAAACCCGAACAGAAAAAGATATTCGAAGCTTTATTAGAGAAGAAAGACTGTATGGCGGGGTTGCCTACGCAATTATTACCCAATGGGTCGTTTTCCTTGGCGTCGTAGAAACGTCAGTTCCCGCCGCCATATTTGTTTTGGAAAAACTAATCTGTTTGATACCCCTCGCTATTTATCTATCAACCATGATATTCCGATTCGCTGGCAAACTTTTGCCAGCGCGCCTGATTGGTTCATCTAAAGGTCACTTGAACGTGACCCTGACCACGGCACATTTAGATGTTCAGGCGGAGCCATGTAACAGATGATTTTAATCAGATTGTGAAACTTAGAGAAGGGACCTACAGGTTCTAGCTAATCAACAGTACAGAAATCAGAGATGTTAATAGCACTAACAACATCGTTTACTGCAAAGTATCTTGTTTTGTAATTGCAATTTTCACACTCAGGAGAAACAAAGCTAAAGTCACTACAAAAATAGTCGACAGAGAACTCACAACCTTGCGCTGGAACACATAGATTTTTTCCTGAAATTTTTCGAAAGATTACAACATCTGGGGAAAAAGTTTGATACATTATAATGGAAAAAAGGAAGTCTACAAAATGAACAAGCACAATCATGCTAGAATACAATAAAAGACTGATATTCACATGCATGATAAAAGAACCATGCTGCACATACACAATAAAAACAAATCACATTCATAAGAGTGTTCAAACTAGACAAATTCTACAAATACAGTAGATCCGTACAAATGGTGTTTTCCATAACAATTTTTACCAACGGACACATCACTAAAGAAACATTAAGCCAGGTCTTTCCAGACTGTGAGACAGCGGCTATTGAGAGGGACATTGCCCTGTGGAGAAAGACATCACGATCTTATCTTACCTGGTCCTCCGTCTCCCTCCTGGCACTGCACAGCCAGGTCTTAGCACCAGTCAGCTGGCAATGAAGATATCGTACACTCCACGTTGCGCAAGGTCGGTGGAACAGCCCGTCCTCTACCGGGGTGAAGGTCAGATCATTACAGACTGACAGCACAAAGGATTCGGCCAGGAGCTCTGATCCTAGCTGTTTACTGAACGACATCCAGTAACAGATGTTGAACCTGTGTAGGTTCACAGACATCTTGATTGTTCTGAAATGTAAACGTGACATGTTATACGACACAATCATGTCAATCACAATCTACTCTGGATGAGATAATAAACTCAATAAACAACTCCTAAAATTATGCAGCCTAAAAATGAGTTTAAATGCTATAATATTAAATGTCCTTTACTGTTAACTGAAATCTTTAGAAGGAAGATACCCTCAATTATTTTATTTTTTTTTAATTTTATATGATTTTACAGATGTATAGTAGTCTTACTTGTAGTGCCGGGTCAGCTGTGGTTTGCGAGGCCGTATAGTATCGAAGTAGGACCCTCGACGGATGGGGCGAGTGACGCTCGCAAAACACATCTTGATTTTGTCCAGAAATCTGAGGGTGCTGGCATAGAATAGACAACTGGGAACATTGAGGGTGTTCTCCCTCAGGGGTTTTGTGTCCAGGGATAGAGACAGGTTCAGATTCTTGGATCGGAATGCTCGGAAAGAGTCATGCTCCTGTAAATAAATAATCGATATCACTGTTAGACATACATATCATTTACTTTGACTGAACTAGTGGAAACTAGGTGGATCTAAAGAGTACAGAAACAACCCGACAAATATCACATCTTATTTTTATCATCAAACTACTTTTCCTTTTTTTTCATTTTTCATTTTAGCAACAGGTGTACGGTGCTCAATGCATTACTCCTAGGAATCTTGCATGAAGCAACCAGGTAATTTACCTGTAATGAGCTGACAATCAGTCTGCCTGTTATTGACATCTAACATATATGTTTATGACATAATCATAAAATTTAATGTAGTCAAGGCATAAACACAAATATAAATAGTAAAACCTGTATTAAGAAACCACCCTCTGAAAGTCCAAAAAGTGGTTTCTTAACACAGGCGGTCGCTTAATGATAAGTGGTCGTAGGAGCAGCTTTGACTATATTTAATATTGTTTTGAGCTAATAGAACTGGTATCAGCCATCATTGTTCATTGGTATCCAGTGTTATCATTATGACATCATGATAATGATGACAACAGTTACTATAGCTACTACTGTCCAGAATTTATATACCCAGAAGTTTCTTTTTTGCTATAACTTTTCACATATATTTTCACATATCACATATATTTCAGTCTGCACTTGTAGTATAGGTGCAGACTGAAATATGTAAACCCAGCAAATTTGCTGCCTTTCTGATCAAGTTAGAGCAGACTGTTGACTATCAATGGTATTGAATCAAATTTAAACCATGTGAATTAATTCCAAGAAGAAAATCAGTAGATACAGTAGATAAAAAATCAGACTTAGAGAAAGTTTGATGAATTAGTGTCTAGGTAACATCTACTTTGACTGTCCTGGTCTAAAATTGGGCATCCCAAGTAAGAGTTGGGTATTCTGCAGTCTGGAATGTTATACATGTATTACAAGTTACTTCCAGTAAAAAAAGGTATTTTAATTGGTTAGATATGGACTGGTGGACTTAAATACTTTTTGTGAGAAATCAGGTTTTTTGTTTGTGTATGTCTTACTTCATGTGAGAAGTCCGGTACTTTGTCCGGGGCACAGGGCATCACAGCATGGTGGTCATTGGGATCTCCATGGCATAGCCACTCCAGCTTGTAACTGTCAAACACAAACAATGATAATGTTTTTAATCATGTCTCAACCTGTACTGTCCAGACAGAGATATGTACATTAAAACCTGTGTTTACCAAACCTTTCAAATATATTGCAACATTTATAACAGGGAAACCTGTAAAACCTACGTAACCCTGAACATTATAAAGTGGACCTTGAAGACCATAAGTGATGATTATGAATACACACATTTTTATCTATGGAAATGACTGATAAGGTTGGCATAATCCTTTACATATTTTCTATGCATGAATATGTTTCCACTACACAAACTAGAAAAAGAAAAAATGGATAAAGAAATAACATGGGAAATACATAAGACTAAGGGAATACTCTATTAGTAAGCTATAATAAAAACATTAAAAGGATTTAGTGAAGTCTATAAGGCATAAAATTTGATACCAGTAGGGAATCTGACATCAAACTGGATTTTTTTCGACTCACCAAAGTTTGAGGTTGGGAAGATTCAGTAATTTACAATCATCATACTTGGATGTAGTTCTTGAAGAAATGTCAAAGTCTCCCAGCAGGACAAAATTGGCTGTAAGTTTAACATTGCCAACAACAGATTATACAATATCATGTCTATGATATCAAGGTCACTTTTCATTTATCGTATACAGCTACCCAGCTGAGGCAGTTTCAGACCAGCGGGCAAATATTTAGACTTGAATTTAAATTGTTGTTTAGTTTTTAAGTTCCATATCAAAATGTGATTTTACATAACTGAACATGCAAATAATGTAACTATAGTTATTTCATCAAATTAAGATTGATTTCCACCAGAAATATAATTTTATTAACATTTTAAATTTGTCACTTAGTCATAGACTGGTTCAAGATCATTAGGCCTGAATACATATTGTACATGGATTATACCTGTTAAGGTTTTCCCAATACATTGAATAAAGATTCCTTTTCCAAAGACTTGCTAAGTTCAAGTTGAATCTTGCAAATATATGCAAAAACTGCATCATCTACATGTTATGTAAATTGCATCATCTACAGGTTATGTAAATTAACTTACCATTGGTCCAATCGATACAGACTTTGGACCAGGACCAGTCCATGAACTCAGTGGTGTTGTAGGGGTCAAAGGAGGCATGGTAGAGCCAGCTCATTTGCTCCACGGACATAAAAAAGCGGCCATGCAGAAGGAGGCGGATCTTGTCCCAGATTGGCAGGGGTCGGCTGGGGTCAATCGAGGGTTTGTTGATGAGTTCAAGGCTAAGGTTATACTGTGCTATAGCAGGTTCCCAGCAGGCTCCATAGGCCATCACCCAGCTCTTAACATCTACACGGAAACAAATACGTACCTGGTAATTATATCAACTCAACAACTCTCATCAATCTCTGTAGGCCATCACCCAGCTCCTAACATCTATACGGAAACAAGTACATACCTGGTAATTATATCAACTCAACAACTCTCATCAATCTCTGTAGGCCATTACCCAGCTCTTAACATCTACACAGAAACAAGTACATACCTGGTAATTATATCAACTCAACAACTCTCATCAATCTCTGTAGGCCATTACCCAGCTCTTAACATCTACCAGGAACAAATACATACCTGGTAATTATATCAACTCAACAACTCTCATTGATCTCTGTAGGCCATTACCAAGCTCTTAACATCTACACAGAAACAAATACATATAGTAACTCAACAACTGTTATTAATCTCTAGACCATGGAACTAGTCCTGAACAGCAACACAAACCTGCATCTACACTTCTGCCACAAAGGTTGATCAATTCCAGATTGAATTCTTCCCATCCTTGAAATTCTGAATAGTTTTATCAAAAGCTACTTTTTTTATTACAGTGTAACCTTGCATATCGCAACCGTCCATATCTTTTGAATTTTCTACAGTCATCTCTGACAACAGCTAAGTTACAGTAGAAATTGTCTAGAGCACGTAGGAGGCCAACAAATTATCTTGCCTGTTTGCTGGCAAAAAAAATAAAATCAAAGCATGGCTCCCAATCTCATCAATGAAATAAGTAGGGTATGTAAGAGTACGCCTCCCACTGAATAATTAGTGGCAGGAGACCAAACACAAAAATTGACAAAAAAACAAATTCTTAAAATGTATATGGCTTAATGAGGGATGCACAGGCCTGATTATATAACATTCTGGGCTTTTGGCTGTATGATTCACTTACTTCAAAGGAAAGAATTCAAAACAGTCTTGTACATGTAGTGTTTTGCTTTACAATCATAACAGCAAGTCATTTGGTTTATTATAGAACAGTTTTATCACATATGAAACTAACAACATCAGACAAAGAATCATGCCTCCTAACTTTGGACATTCATCCGATCCAATAGTTACAACTGGCATGACCAAGGATATACATGGATTCAAATCACCTATCATTGCTTTTGTAACATAGTATGGAAAACTGCCTGTTTAAACTTGCATGACTCACCTCATTCTCAAACTTATGGCTAAAATAGTAATCACCCTGTCAACAAAATTCTACTCTAAGACTGTAAATGAGATACTGCTAGATAAGAAACATTTAATATAATCTTTACACAAACAAACATAGCTAAGATCCTCGGAAAGGGGCCTGTAGGTCAAATCAAATTTTAACCCTTTCACCACTGTAGACCATAATGGACTCATCCAGAACAATGCATGGGAGAGTCTACTAAAGTTGCTTAGGGGTGAAAAGGTTAACTACCTCATAGGAAAGTTTGAATGCCATAATAGAGTGATACTGACCACAGCTGAAGTCGTGGTAGAACTTGAGGGTCGGTAGGTTCCTCTCTACTTCCATGTTTCCCCAGGGGTCCTCCACCTCTACCACACACTTCCTTTTGGCTGAAATAGTAAAAAAAAAAAAAAAAGATCATGGAGAACATGATTGAATATTCCAGTTTGTGAGAACAGTGGTTATTGAGTGAATGTCAGTGTAGACTGTAAACTTATACCTTATACCCTAGGGAGTCTGGTAATACCCTAGGAAGTCTGGTAAATTAAAAGAACACAAGTAACAGCTATTCACCTCTCCTACTACCATCCTGCTCTGCCCCAATTAGTCGACCCCACAGCCCAATGTCCTTGACCTCCAGCATAGGATGAGGGTAGTCACGCATCATCACCTTCCACAGACTGAGGTTGAAGTTCACATAGCGACACCAAAGGGTCATGAACTCTTGGCCTTCTTCAGGGTAGGGGCTGTTAATGATGAAAAGTGTAAAGAGGTGAAAATATAATTTACATTTAATCTATCATGTAGATTATCCTAACACAGATTTAACAAACAAACTATATTTATATTGACCTCAATACACAGCTCTGTGCTGTTCACTAAAGCTGGACGTTAACAATAATTGTTTTATCTGCCTTTTTTATTTAGTGAGTCATTTTTCCTAACAAATTCTGCAGTGTTGTGCGAGTCATTCTATGTAAAATTCATCAATTTTAAAAAGTTCATTGAGTCAAATTGAAAAAATCTGAGTACTAGCAAATAAATGAAGCACTACTCAATTTGATTTAAAAAAATAATATTCAACATTGATAGCCTTTGCTGCTATTTGTTCTATTAAAACGGAAACAGCATCATTTCAATATTAGTAAGTTTCATATCATTTAAAATTTTGAAATGCAATAATTTTGCAAAAAGATGTATCAATAAATGTATATTTTACACAGGACACTAAACTCTACTACCTCTGATTGTCAATGTCCCTCATATGTTTGACGACATTCTCCTTCCCATGGAACGACTTGTCAGCGTAGGCCAGTATCTCAACATCCTCCATCAGCCAGGTGAACAGCTTCGTTCTCATGGGTGTTTTCTTGTACAGCAGGCGAGATCGCTGAAGGTAGATGTCACTGCTTTTCTTGTCTAGGGAGTCAAATAATTCCTGTACACGGTCCGCTGTAAAACAGTATTTAATTATATAAATAGCACAACAACCATAAAGCTACATGGGCAGATTGGTCGAGTGGTTAACACTACGGCCTTCCACGTAGGCGGCCGGGGTTCGATCCCCGAAGTCGTCGTACGCATGGAATATTCGGAGAAAGTGTTTTTCTCCTGCCCACACAACTCTAACAACCAAGGAGGAGTATGAAATGGTCTGGGGGTGGATGTTGTGGTATCTTTGCTGTAGCATTCAAGTGTGGTGGCACTTTAAATGATACCGTTGGAAGCACGGTCCCACTACAAACAATACATCTCCAACACGCAGGCATACACACATAGGGAGATATTAGCCAGGTGGCATAGGACTAGTAGTTAGCACCTGATAAGGCAGCTCCTTCAAATTACTCAAATCTGTATAGATTAATGTATATGCTAATTGTATAAATTGTATATCTATCTACTGTAAAGCACTTTAGAGTGGCTTATTCTAGCTATATCAAATGTTGTATATTATATTATTATATTACAATACTCTACAACACTAAAACATCAAAAAAATTAATCCTTGGTATCACTTATTCAAGATGGACTGGAGGCAATATTTCAGTGATCAAATTTTATAAATGTGAAGCACTTTCATGATCAGACTAATACGTCCCACTTCTGTAGGATATCAAACTAATACAAAAAAACTTTGAAATGAAGTCTGAATTTTTTTTAGAAATCAATCAATAACTACATAAAATAATCATTAACTATATTTCATCCATTATTGTCACCTTTTAAGAAAATAGTGCTATAACAGTGTAATAAAAACTGCATCCATATTATATATCACCGATATTCCGATATTTCTTTCTTCAAAATTACACAATCTTTAAAATAACACTATTAAATGGATGCATGAGGTGCATTTCTAGCCTCCATTTGTGTGAGTTAAAACTTTGTTACAGTATTCCTCAGACAGATTTATACCTGGTATGAAGCCGTGGGTACGGCGCAGGTTATAGACCTTCTGTTCCATGACAGCCTTTCTCTTGAAGTATTCGTAACATTCATCTTTCATCAGCTCAAAATTGTCGCCTAGCTTCACCTCGAATGGGTCATCACTGAGCTGTACTTGGAACCTCTGTAGTAGAAATGTAAACAAGGTGTTCAGGTTACAACTGTCTGATAATATCTAGGCCTTGTTGTCATGACGAAGATGTTTTATACAAATAAGCTAAATTTATACAAATAAGCTAAAACGTAACACTACAATCTAAAATATTATACTTTCTAGAACATTAGATAACAATCTATTAAATTAAACTATAGGTTCAAGCTATACAATTATTTCTCAATGATAACTAGGCCCTTGGTGAATACATCCATGAAATATGACCAATAATGATAATAAATGTGACGTCAACAGACTATATTTTGATGCCACAATGCAGACAATAAATATAGAACAAAGATGGCATAATTTCAGAATTAAGAATGACCTATGAAACTACAATTTCTGCAATATTTGCAAACATTTAATCCTGACCATGTGATAAAAGGACACAGGAGACAACTGCTCTGTAACTTTTGTTACCATGGTTACCGATATTGGGGTCTGACCTTGACTTTGATCTGTAGGTCTGGAGGTAGTAAACTCTCCTCAGTGAATGGCTTCTTCTTCACCTTGTGGACCAACTTCCACCATTTCCACAAATTCACAAACTGTTAATAGCCAAAAAAACAATACTTCAATAAAATATTGTCATGGCAACTTGTGAAAAAAGAACATCTGTTCCCGTTAAAGTTCCCCTGAAGTCTTTAATTTTCTGGATGGATCGTTTGTTCTCAAAGTTGCCAGTGTAGGAAAAACAGGTTAAAATTGGGAAACCGGTTGGATATCTTATTCGTATTCTCAGATAACGAGAAATCAAAATCAAAATCAATAGGCTTAATATTTGTTTTTCTTTTCTAGCACGAGATAGTTCCTCTGAAGTAACTTACCTCCTCAAAGCATTTTGCAAAGTTGTATTTGTAGGGGAACACAATATCAAAGCTGTTGAACAAAACATGCCTGAAAAAATAAAATTCCAAATTTATTCCAATTTTGTACAATTATGTTAAACATCGTAACTCATATTTATATATGCATTGTATCCACATACTTAACTATTGAAGTTTCTCTAATCACAAATCAAAATTTGTTTTGAATCTGATGTGTTTCATTCACATTATTTCTCATAATATTAAATATAATATCCCAACAATTATCTAAACTGGATTCAAACTGTCTGTATAAGCAGCACCTTTGAGTTATTTGCCATTGTGAAACAGTAGTAAAACCAAAGAAAGTAAAGAGTCAAACATGAAATAAAACCAAGATAAAATATGTTTACAAGCAAAAACGAAAGTACGACCCTGGGTTGGTTGTCAGGGTTTAACGTCCTATCAACAGCTAAGGTTAGTCAAGGACATACAACCCTGGTGGGAAAGAACAGTACTATGTATGTATTTACATCTGTATCCCATGATTATTATACAAGCTTACCAAACTGATAGAGCTTTTCTTTCTTTTCCCTGTGTGTAAGATAGAGCTGTCCAGGGTAAGAAAGGGGTGCAAGTAATTTCTATCTTACACCCCATTTCACGTGACGTG